CATTACTAGTGAGATCTAATACAAACACAGGCTGCATAGACTGGTGCTGGTATCTGGGCACAATGAGTGCATTGGAATTTTATCTACTTGTATTACAATTTCAGTAAATACTACACTTAGAGCATTTTAATCTATGTGTTTTATTTGAGCTGCTCTGAGCAATATCTTTATCTTGAGGAGAGCCTGGGATTAGGAATCCATCCACTATCTGTGTACCCAGAGTCTTGTGGTCACTCAACTGGGGGCAGTCATTTTTTACCCCCTGGATCCATATCCCATATTAGGAGACCAGGAAGCCTGATCCAGGAGAGCTTGCTGCTTGTTGTCAACATCTATGATTACAAAAGCGCTATCTGACCACCTTAACCGGGGTCAATGTTTTCTGGTGAGTGAGAAATTCACTTATTGTTTACATGTGGTGAAAAAAGAAAATTCTTGACATAAGGGACTATATTTCCATGGGACTGTCACTTAATATATGTTCACTATTCATTATATTATGTCCGGGACTATTATTTATTTTATGTTACTGATAGATATCTCTATATTTGTCTTATGATATATTTTAGTGCCTACCTATTCACGTATTTTTCTAACTTCCGTGGACAGCCTGAAACATCTCTGTGAGATGGTTGCAGTTCAATCTGTGTTAAATTTTTGTATCACTTTTGCTACATTATTCTGACCTTCACCTTTCTTGTGCAAAGAAATTATTTTCTTTTTCAGGCCTTGTGACATTTCTCTTCCATGTGGTGCCTTTGCTGACAGCATGAAAGCGTCTTTGCTGACAGCATGAAATCTTCTTTGCTGACAGCATGAAATGGTTAAGTAACGCCCTTTTATATTCAACTGTCTGCTGGACATCTGTTTAATGAATAATTAGACTCACCTGTAGTTGAAATCTTGATAATTAGGATTTTGTTGTCTGAAATTTAGCTTTGCTTCTAAGACTTTCATTGGGGTGTGTTCATTTTTGCAGCATGATCTTGTAGGAATTTGTTAGCAAAAAATACTTTTTTGTGTGTGCATTTTAACAAATCTTGTTTGCAATCAATGGCCCATATTTGTGAGAGTATTTTGTAGTGTAGTGCCCCATAGAAAATGTTGATTCTGAAAGGAAAGGTTTTCTGACAAATCTGTTGGGGTGTACTCATTTATGCTGAGCACTGTATTTAACCCTTTCGCCGCCAGATCTGTACATTGTACGGACCTGACTACAGGGGGTTTTATACAAACAGGCAGACTCCTGCCTGTCAGGTGGAAGCAGTCAAGCAGTTCTCCTTCCCTCCTTTCTGTGACCTGGAAGGTAGCTTGTATGATGTCACTTCCGGATCACTGCTATCATTTTCCGGCTAGATACATGTATTGTCTGCATTGTAATATGCCTAGTTTAGACTAGAGGAGACATACAGGGACTTTTAGGCCCTGCATGTCTCAATGAAGGGAACCTGTTACCTAAAAAAAGTTAAGTAAAAAAATTTTTTTGTTACTAAAAAAAAAAAAAAGTTACACCCAAGCACATAACATCACCCCCCCCAAAAAAATATAAGGCCCCCTCACCCCCACATATACACATGTACGAAAGTAAATGCACACATCGTGAAGCCTACGAGTGAAAACGTTGATTGCGATATACATACTGCATATCATCCCACACGCCAGAGTGAGAGCAATAATTCTAGCACAAGACCTTCTCTCTAATACTAAACCGATGACCTTTAGGGGCTTTTGAAGTGTCACCCATAGAAAATATTAGGTACTGAAGTTTGTCACCATTTCATAGGCACACAAAAATTTAAGGTTTGGCATGTTGGGTATCTATTTACTTTGTGCAACCTAATCTTTTATATTTTACCAAAATGTGGGTAATTTATTGCATTTGTTTGCCCTAAAATTCACTTTAGTGTGTTTTTTTACTGAAATTTGCGTTTCCTGGACCTTTGCAGGAATATTGTGTGACACAAAAAATTGCAACTACTACTATTTTATTCTCTAAGGTGTCTGCTTTCAGAAAATATATGTTTGGGGGGTTTGGGTAATATTCAGGCCTGAAATAATTTTTTATAAACGTGTGCAGAAAATGCAATGCTCTGGCAATAAATTATTTTCTATATATTTGTGAATTTGTAGAAAGTAGTGAGCTGCAGTCAGTCTATCTGTACCTAAGCAGAAGTGATCTCTAATCCACGGACTGTATTTACTCTGCCAGACTGCCACTTGCTGCTTGAGCTTACTCCAAAAGGTGTGCCAGAGAGGTGCCTTTTCCCTCATGGGCTTCTTCCTTGTGAGGATGTCACTTTGAAAGATAATCTCTCTCCTCAGGTCTTTGGGCCTAGGGATTGGAAAGAAACAGAAATAACCCTCCCCCAACCTCCCATTCTCCAATCTCCCCATCCCCCAGGAAATATTCTTGAAGAGGCTGGATGCTGAAGTCAAAGTAGTGTCTGTTCCCTTGATGTAATGAATGACTGTTTGAATGGGAAGTATACACAGGAATCTTCCCATGTTGTCCTGCCTTGAAACATAAAAAAGACACCCCTTGAACAAGGAGTTCAAAGTTCTATAAATAATATTAGATAAAATGCAGCACTATACTAAAAACACATTAACATTATATTCAGCAAAATATAAGTCAATATAACAATGGCCACATCATAAATCAGTGATAATGTCCAAAATATTTGCCCATGTCAAAATAAGCTCAAAAGATCAAAACCCATAAGACTAATCCATTACACTGTGATAGTGCAGAAAAAAGAGAAAACACCTAATTAATGCATGCTTCAGACAGTGCTCACATAGGACCCTTACTGTTTAAAATGGTCAAACAGCACATGTAGGGTTAAACCCTTATGATCCCAAATGGTCCATATATCACCACCTTCTTGGAGGCTTCCACCAGTTTGACTCATACGTGTAACATGTAAAGGAAAGAGCAACTCTAATTTGGTAGTACAGTAAAAAACAATTTATTAAGATGATAAACATGCGCACTTACATTATAGGCAATAAAATCCAGCAATAACGCAAATACATGCTTCCAATCAGCATCAGCATCAGTACTTTATTTTCTATTGCAAAGTTCTATGAATGTCCAGTTAGCACAGTCTATCACAGTCACAGTGACTAGTCCCCATCCTTTTTAAATCCTGAGAAAAGAACCACACCTGTGCCTGTGATCTTGTTGCCATGTAAGAACATGTACAGTGTACCTGTTGGTTAAATGGAAGTAGATATTTATTGGAAGAGTAGTATCAAATGTGCTACATGTCGTAATAGCATTCTATGAGCAATTAAGTGTTTGGCATTTTGCAGAGAAGAGTAGGACCTCGTCAGAGAGGGATCCCTTTGGCACAGTTAGCCAGCTTGAACATGTACTGCAATATATGCGAACAAATATTCCCTATTTATGCAAAAGTTTGCTAGAAATATTTAGGAGTGTAAAGTAGTGTGCAGATGCTTAATTGGAAAATCTCCAAAGTTTGCTAATTAAAAAACACATACAAATTCTTTACTGCTGTTAAACAACAAATTCTGCTTACAATTTTCTGAAAGTTTCTCCTACGTCATTAAAAGTGTTAATTTCCACAAGTATTAGGTCACAGTAACAAAATGCTTATTCTTGCGGTGCCATTCAAAGTGAATAAACAACATTATCACCAACAGCAAAAAAGATAGGAAATAACAATTGCTTTTTGTTGTCCCTTATTATGTTTTAGAAATGTATCTAAATGCAGTACAATAAGTTCTATTCCACACATATAAAGAAGCAGTAATAAAAACTATGCAATGTCACTCTAAAACTCCATTAGTCTAGCAAATAGTCTTTAACACAGTTTAGTAAACAAAAGATAGGGATGCTGCACAGGAATATCAAAATAAACAACTGTTGGCCTATGAACTTGAGAAAGGGCAAGGGTGCCTGAAACTATTTTTTATTCTGATGTTCCTGTGTATGGAATCCTTATTATTTAAATGGAAATAAGTGGAATTTGCAACAATACCTGTGCAGAATCCCCATGATTTTGTGATATCTTCTAGATCATAGGTTTGAGATTCTACAGCACCTGGGCCATTAAAAAATGTATAACTGCAGTATTAGATTGTGCACTGAAAGCTGGGGTCATTATAAAGGATCTATATGACTATTTACAATTGATGCATCCACACACTCCTGTTTTGTACACACTACCTAAAATTTGGAATCAAAAGGGACCCTGTGTCACCTTCATGCAGACCAATAGTATGGGGACTTGATTTCATTTTTGTCCTGATTGCTACTTTTTTTGATGAGATGTTGCCTCCACCAGTACAAGAGACAAAATAATACATTTGGGATACAAGTTACATAGGTAGTCTGGCTGAAAAAAGACAAAAGTCCATCCAGTTCAACCATTAAAAAAAAAAAGTTATACTCCTATACCCACAGTTGATCCAGAGAAAGGCAAAAAAAACCCCAGCAAAGTATGATCCAATTTGCTCCTGCGCAAAAAATTCCTTCCCGATCCCCCGAGAGGCAAACGGATATTCCCTGGATCAACTTTACCTATAAATCGTAGTATCCAGTTATGTTTTGTGTATCTAAGAAAGAATCCAGGCCTTTTTTAACCACTTGGCTACCAGGCACTTATACCCCCTTCTTTACCAGGCCAATTTTCAGCTTTCAGCGCTGTTGCACTTTGATTGACAATTGTGCGGTCATGCAAGATTGTACCCATATGAAATTTTTATCGTTTTTTTTTCTCACAAATAGAGCTTTCTTTTGGTGGTATTTAATCGCCGCTGGGCACTTTACGTTTTGTGCTATAAACAAAAAGTGTGCAAAATTTTTTTTTAAAAAGTTTCTTTGTTTCTATTATAACATTTTTCAAATAGATAATTTTTCTCCTTCACTGATGTGCGTTGATGAGGCAGCACTGATGGACACTGATAGGCGGCACTGATGGGCACTGATAGGCAGCACTGGAGGGCACTGATATGTAGCACTGATAGGTAGCACTAATGAGGTGGCACGGATAGGCGGCACTGATAGGCAGCACTAATGAGGTGTCACTGATAGGCGGCACTGATGATGGGTACTGATAGACAGCACTGATAGGTGGCACTGACTCGCGGCACTGCTAGGCATAGACTGGCGCAACTGCTGAGCACTGACTGGCAGCACTGCTGGGCTGCATTGATGGGCACTGGTGGGTGGCACTGGTGGGCACAGGTTGGTGGCACTGGTGGGCACAGGTGGGTGGGCACAGGTGGGTGGCACTGCTGTGCACAGGTAGGTGGCACTTCCGGGTACAGGTAGGTGGCACTGCTGGGTGGCATTGGTGGGCACTGCTGGGCACAGGTGGGGGCACTGCTGGGCATAGGTGGGTGGAACTAGTGGGTGGCGCTGCTGGGCACCGATCATCAGGGCACTGATCATCAGTGCCCTGATGATTGGTGCTGATCTCTGACAACTGCCAGTTCTCGGCAGTACTTTCCTCACGATCTGACAGCGTGAGGAAAGTGCAGCCGAGAACTGGCAATTGCATTTCCGTCATTGGACACGACGGATCACATGGTAAAAGGCTGCTGTGATTGGCCTTTTACCACATCACGTGATCAGCTGTGTCCGTAGGACTTGCTTGGCAAGTAGTTAAAGCAATCCACTGAGCTGGCCAGAACCAACTCTTAAGGGAGTCCATTCCACATTTTCACAGCTCTCACTGTGAAGAAACCTTTCTGTGTTTGGAGATTAAATTTATTTTCCTCCAGACGTAAAGAGTGCCCCCTTGTCCTCTGTGATGACCTCAGGGTGAATAGCTCTACACCAAGTTCACTGTATGAACCACTGATGTATTTATACATGGTGGTCATATCCCCCCTTAATCTCCTCTTCTCAAGAGAGAATAAATTCAGTTCCTCTAATATTTCCTTATAGCTGCGCTCCTCCATGCCTCGTATCAGTTTGGCTGCCCTTCTCGGTACTTTCTCCAGTTACCCAATGTTCTTTTTGTGAATTGATGCCCAAAACTGAACTGCATATTCCAGATGAGGTCTTACTAATGATTTGTACAGGGGTAATATGATATCTCTCTCTATGGAGTCTAAACCTCTTTTAATACAAGAGAGGATTTTGCTCGCTTTGGAAACCGCAGCTTGGCATTGCATGCAGGGGTGGACTGACAACTCATGGGGCCCCTGGGCAATAGGGGATCATGGGGCCCCTGTGTCCTTGCCCAAACTCAAAAAAGCCTACGAAAAAGGTACCAGGGGTATCTCATGGGGCCCCCTTCTGACCCCAGGCCCTCGGGCAGTGCCCCAGTTTCCAAATGGTCCACCCCTGATTGCATGCCATTATTAAGTTTGTGATCTACCAGTGATTTTTTTTTAGAAAAGTTACAGGGTCCATAGAGGTTTTCTTTAGGGTAACCTGGGATGTGTTCAGCCTTTATACCTCAATTCCCTATGAGGAGGAAATAGAGGAGCCCATCATGCTGATCAGAGGTAGTGGTAAATACACTCATGATCATTTAAAGTTGTTTGGAGATCTTTTTCATTTAATTCTGACTAATTTCTATGTGCAATGACAAGGTGTTGCCATGGGTTCCAATATCGTACCACTACATGCAGGGGCATATATAAAAGATTTAGGGCTGTGTAGAAACCAATTGGTAAAACGTTTCTATCCTGTGTTTCAGTTGGTTGTCCATAGTCAGCTATTGAGTGTTAAATGTATTGTCATTGATAAGGAGAAATTGTACATGCAGCTACAACAGAAGATAACTAAAACTAAACTGGATTGAAATTCATCCCGTTCAGCAGGGACCAGATGCATTTTGAACCATGTGAGGTCACTGCATTAGAACAGACATAAATCTACTAGTCAACTTTGTTTAACTGCCCTGTTGGAAAAGAGCTACTCGATCAGCACATGCTGCCAATGGCTGCAGCAATGATCTGCGTATTCTGACAGCAGTCTCCTCGCTGTCAGAATGAAATAGCTCAGCAGGGAGGATTCCCCCATCCACCTGGAATGTGAGGATGGGTGAATCAGTAAATTTTTTTTAGTTCAGCCAGCAGAATGCAGCAGAAAACTGGACAGTGTATGGCCAGCTTTAGTCTCTGGAGAGGGGGGTATATCCAGGGATTCCGAGACTCTAAAATGCAAAATATTGTGGGAAACAAATAGCTCAACATTACAGGATAGAAGTCTAAGAGAATCTCCTTTTTTCCTTGTAGAGTTATCCCATGAGTAAAACAGCCTTTTCAGTTAATAAGAGACATTGGCATCATTTATAGGAGATGTATCCTAACATCCCTGAGTTACAACATGTACCAGTTAAAGCCTCACATTGTAAATGTTCTGAGGAACACATTGGATTGGATTTCAGAACCCCTGTAATGAAAAATTAATGACATTTTTGAGTAAGAGAAGTACAGGATCTTTTCTATGCCTGTCTTGTTCGTGCTGCTTGATGTCAGAAGGAAGCGTATTTAAATATCCCAAGAGTGGGTCCTATTACCTGCTCAAGCATTATGCTAATCATCCTTTGTTATATATGTTTTGTTTTTAAATGTTTTGAGTTATAGATATAATATGATTTATGTTAGGGGGACCATTCAAAAGATCAAAGATCAAATATCCCAGTACAGACATTCAATTTGTTGAAAAACAAAATTCTGGTATCCAAACATTTTTCTGATTTAAAACTCTTTGAGGTGGACCTCCTCATCATGTTTTTGATGATGTAGACCAAGCAGGAGAAACGACATTTCAGCATTTAAAAATTGACAGGTTTGGTGGATTCAACTGAATTAATTCCATCCGGATGACTTCTATGATTTATATCTGTTTCTTCAACTGCTTTCGCCTCTCTATAGCAGAAATACTGCTAGAGGGCAGCATGGCTGCACAAAATCACGTGTATATATACAGTTGTGTCCAAAATTATTCAACCCCCAATGCTGTAAAGGGGTTTAGGGACTATAGTGTACATTTGGAATTGTATTCAGAATCAAATCCTACAAGGACGTTGTAACTACCCAAATGCAACTAAAATGACATCAATTGTTTTATGTTTACAGTAGTAAATGGTTCTTATGTGGTTTCTTCATTGCCACAATTATTCAACCCCTTAAAGACTACCACTCTGAAGAACAGAGGTTCATACAGGTGCTTTTCATCAGGTATTGAAAACACCTGTGGATGTCACCGAGCAGCAATCAAGCATAATAAGCACCAATTAGGCAGCTTTAAAATGACTGTGATACTCAGCTCCTTCTAGACATTTACTGGTGTGGGTTACAAACATGGTGAAGGCAAGAGAATGGTCCAGGAAGACAAGAGAAGAGGTGATTTCTCTTCACAGGAAGGGCAATGGCTATAAGAAGATTGCAAAGATGTTAAACATACCAAGAGACACCTTAGGAAGCATCATTCGCAAATTCAAGGCAAAGGGCACTGTTGAAACGCTACCTGGTCGTGGCAGAAAGAAGAGCTGACTTCGACTGCTGTGCGCTACCTGAAGCGTAGAGTGGAGAGAAGTCCCCGTGTGACTGCTGAGGAACTGAGAAAAGATTTGTCAGATGTGGGTACAGAAGTTTCAGCCCAGACAATAAGACGCACACTGCGTAATGAAGGCCTCCGTGCCAGAACTCCCAGGCGTACCCCCTTGCTGTCTCCAAAGAATAAGAAGAGTCGACTGCAGTATGCCAAAAGCCATGTGGACAAACCACAAAAGTTGTGGGATAGTGTTCTGTGGACTGATGAAACAAAATTAGAACTGTTTGGGCCCATGGATCAACGCTATGTTTGGAGGAGGAAGAACAAGGCCTATGATGAAAAGAACACCTTGCCTACTGTGAAGCATGGTGGAGGGTCAATCATGCTTTGGGGCTGTTTTGCTTCTGCAGGTACAGGGAAGCTTCAGCGTGTGCAAGGTACCATGAATTCTCTTCAGTACCAGGAGATATTGGATGGAAACGTGATGCAGTCCGTCACACACCTGAGGCTTGGGAGACGTTGACCTTTCAACAGGACAATGATCCCAAATACCTCCAAGTCCACTAGACATGGTTGCAGAGGAAAGGCTGGAACATTTTGGAGTGGCCATCGCAGTCACCAGACTTAAATCCATTGAGAACCTCTGGTGGGACCACAGCAAGCCTAAGAATGTGTTGAATGGAGGCCTTTCCATGAAGAATGGGCGAAGCCCATCGTGCCAACTAGTACTAAGTACTAAGATTGAATGTCACTTGGGGGTTGAATAAAACTGATAATGTGTGAGCACAGAAAAGACATTTGTGGTTATTTCATTATAACTGTTATGTTTCTATTTGTCTGACCTACAAGTGCCTCTTTGATGACTGAATGATCAAAAGCAATGTCAAACTGGCCAAAACACTCAGTGCATGGTGTTTTTATTAGCTTTTTTTTATTAGCAGATCACTGTATTAGATCGCTGCAAGACACTTGTGTCAAGCTATGCTTCACGTTTAAAAGCTGTTGTCACTAAAACTGATAATGCTGTGAGCACAGAAAAGACATTTGTGGTTATTTCATTATAACTGTTATGTTATATTTGTCTGGGATGATCAAAAGCAATGTCAAACTGCCAAAACACTCAATTTCAGTGGGGGTTGAATAATTTTGGACACAACTGTATGTGATTCTGCATTTCCAGGTAGGGGGCGCCTATGCCACGCACTCTCCCCTGTCAGTCCAGCATGCTGCTTTGTATTCCTCTGCATAGCAGAGGAATACAAAGCAACATGCTTACAATGTAAAAACACACACACAGGACACAATAAAACAGCCCATAGTTAATCCCTTCCCGCCCAGTGCCACTAGTACAGTGTCAGTGCTTTTTTATTAGCACTGATCACTGTATTAGTGTCATGGGGATGTCAGTGACACTTAGTCAGTTCCCCCCCAAGTGCCCGTTGTCCCCCTATAAGTCGCTGATTGCCGCCATTACTAGTATTAAAAAAAATTCCAGTATATACTGACATTTGAAGACGCTTTAACTCTCATGTAAACCAATTAATTTACACGTATTGGGATTTTTGTTAGCAAAGACATGTAGCAGAATACATTCTGGCCTGAATTTATGACAAATTAGATTTTTTAAAATTTTTTTACTGGACATGTTTAATAGCAAAAAGTCAAAAATATAGTTGTTTTCTCAAAATCTTTTTTTGTTTATAGCGCAAAAAATAACAAACACAGAGGTGATCAAATAAACTCCCTTTGTGGGAAAAAAGGACATACATTTAATTTGGGTGCAGCGTTGCATGACCGCACAATTGTCAGTTAAAGTAATGCAGTGCCGAAATGCAAAAAATGGCCTAATCAGGAAGGGGGGGGTAAATCCTCTGGAGGGTGTGGTTAATATTGTACCCATCACTCCACACTCTTGTTTTAGGGGACAGGACAACAGGAATAAAATGAAAGCTGTG